TCTTTCCCTTTATCTCTCTCATAAAAGAAGGAAATAAGTAATCTGTTTTAAGAGGACTGAATTAATAATAGGCGTAAAGGGCACACATTTCGTTACACGGCTTCTTGTGTTGCTCAGCAAAATAAAAAAATTAAGCAATTTAAGTGGAAACCAAGAGATATTTTAACTGAGAAACCACCCTTACTCCTTTTCAGCTTGCTTGAGAGAGATTTTTGTTGTGTTGATATTTTGAGCTTTGTACAATAAAATACACATTTTTTACTTGTAGGTGTGATTTTTGAAAATAACTCTTGATATATCTAGGTAAATCTGAGTTTACATTATCAAAGTAAAAATGAATCCAAGGAAGAAAATATTTTAATTATGTCGGAGTTGTTTCACACCTACCCAGGCTGTTTTTGCTTCTTTTCCTAGTCTGTCTTTCTAATCGTTTTTCCTTTAGTCTAAATCCATCTTTGTAAACTAAACACTTTCTGTGACATCTAAGTTTATAAAATGGTATTCTAGAAGGCTAATTAGAATGACTATTCATAGATATGGGCTATGTCTTTTTCTAGAGTGTACATTGAGTTAAATGCTCCTTAGTCACAAAAGCAACAATTTCAAATAGGGACATGAGATTTTAAAAGGTATCACAACTGTGTCTAATGTTTTTATAGCTAAAGAGTTGTCCCCTCCTACATATTCATCAAGATGTCCAGTGGCAAAAGGGAGTGAATTCCAGTGGACCCAGTATGGGGATCATTGTTACACATCTGACCAGGCATTGCACAGTTTCTCAGAGGCCAAACAATTGTGTCTAGACCTTGGTGAGTTAAAAATCCATTGAATTTCTTTGACTTGATAATTCAGTTCTTACAAATGTTTCTTAGAGGAGCCAGCAGGTGGCATGATGTTTAAAGTACTGCATCCCACGTGGCCAACTCTGCAGTTCAAGTCCCAGATCCAGTGGCTGGAAAAACACTCCAGGCACGTGTTTGAGCATGATGCCCAAAATCCTGAGAGGAGAATGGAGATTGTGGTATGGCCATCCTTCAAGCGGATGATTTCTTACTTTCCATCTCTCTCTGTCTCTCTATTGAGCACACATGTAATCTGGCAAAAACCGAAAAGAAAAAAGAAAAGAAAAAGAAAAAGAAAAAGGAAAGGAAAGGGAAGGGAAGGGAAGGGAAGGGAAGGGAAGGGAAGGGAAGGGAAGGGAAGGGAAGGGAAGGAAATCTTCGAGAAATAACTTCAAATAATGATTATGTATTTTTAAATATTTAAAAGCATTTACCATTTATAATAGCATTATAACCTTGTTGTCTAGAGGTACAGAAATGGTTGAATATTTTATGATGTAAGAGCTGGATGGAATTTTGGACTAACCATTAAAAATTGTCAATGTGTACCAGCAAGTGGAGTGGAGGTTAAGCCAATGGATCATACATAGTTCCATGACTGAAACTATTGGAAGTTATATGTATATTCTAAGAATCATAAGCTTCTTCCTCCTAAAGGAGAAAGTAGAAAAATTTACTGTAGGGGCCAGCAGATGACGTAGTGGTTACGTTGCCGGATTCCCCACATGGTTGACCACAGTTTGAGTCCCAGACCTGGTGGCTTGAAAATCACAGTAGGTGTGTGTGCGTGCATGCCCAAGATCCCAGGAGGAGAATGGAGAAGAAGGAACTGTGGTGTGACCAACCCCTGTGTGTGTGGGGGTGGTGGGTCATTTCTCACCTTCCCTCTCACTATCTGTCGCTCTGGTAAACACATGCACCCTAACGCAAAAACGTCTTTTTAAAAATTTACCGTAACTATATTGTTTGGGTCGAGCACTTATGTCTTTGGGACAGATAGGTGAGGTTCAAGTCCCAACTCCCACACCTTCTAGTTAAGTACCATGGTGGAAGTTACATAACTGCTTGTCTTTGCTCATCTGAACAATGAAAATGAAAACGATACTTCCAAGGTTAATATAGATCAGGTTGTTGTAGAAATAAACTAAATGAAATAATGTTTGCAAGTGTAACACAACGTCCCACAAATAGTGAGTTCTCAAAGCTATTCTTTTATTTATTTATTTTTTGAGAGGCTTTTGCTGTAGGGCACATGCACTCGCCAGAAAGACAGAGAGAGACAGAAAGACAGAGAGAGACAGAGAGATAGAAAGTGAGAAATCAACCCACAGGGGGGATGTCCACGCCTCAATCCCTTCTCCTCCATTCTCCTCTCGGGATCTTGGGCACGCACGCACACATGCCCGGCGTGAGTTTAAGCCACCGGATCCAGGACTTGGACCACGGTCGGCTACATGGGAGTCCAGCGACATAGCATTACGCTAACTGCTGGTCCCAGTTCTCAAAGCTATTCTGATTATTAAAAAGATTGAATTGACTTTCTAATTCTGTAACTGACTAGCTGTGTAAACCTAAACAATTTACTTAATCTTAAGTCTCATCTGTAAAATGGGGATAATGGCTTTCTCTACTGGGTTGTGCAAGCCAACACCTGAACATTGTGGTGTTCTATAAAGGCATAAAGGCTTTCTGTGCACTCCTCTTAAAATGCTCCCCACACGTACACACAAAAGAAATGCTTTTCTTCAAGTATGGATATTGCTGTTGAAGACTAAGTCCATTTGGGATTGATTTCCAAGTCTAGTTAATATTTTATTTCTAACCCTTACCTGAAGATGGTGATAACACTAATTTTCTGTGGTATTAGGGTCACCTATCAAACTTCAAGAATACTCACTCAATTCATACTATTTTTAGGAACCTACAATGTTCATGGCCAAGTACATTTATAAATAATATATCGAAAGGAGGGCTAATGCTCCCCAAGATACCAAACCTAATTGCTTTTCACTTCATTTCAACAGAAGCAAGATTAAAGCCAAGTTGTGATACAAAAAATGGTTAAGGAGAGAATGCTAAAAATCTATAGAGGAACACATATTTATACTAGCATATACCCCAGTTATAAAGACTAGTCACCCAGACATAAAGGTCTTACTGGTTAGGGAGTTCTAAGATCTAAAAAATATTGCCAGATAAATATTTTGAAGAAACACAAGATTTCCATATACAGAGCTTCAATCCTGAAATGTCTCTGGATTGAATGGAAGGTATTATTTGGGGGTAGTACTTTTAAAATTTTGGCATAAATGCCAGTTTTTAAAAACATTCTCTAGGGATCAGCAGATGGTGTAATGATTATATTGCTGGACTCCTATGTGGTCCACCAGGGTTCGAGTCCTGGAGCCAGAATTTCTCTGTAAGTTTGAATAGCTCAATGATCTTGCTCATGATCATTTTTCAAATGGCTAGTTCAAAATAAACCACTGTCCTAGCGTACATAAAGTGAATTTTTGGAGGGATTGTTTTCTTTCAACAGATCATTCTGCAACTATTGTTACCATAAAGGATGAAGATGAGAATAAATTCGTGAGCAGACTGATGAGGGAAAATAATAATATTACCATGAGAGTTTGGCTAGGATTATCTCAACAGATGGTTGGTAAGTGACATATTTGGGTGTGCGGTGTGCAAAGAGAGTTCTAACTTGTCCTACATACCAAAGCTGCCTTGCCAAGGAATGTCAAGTGGTAGATAATTCAAATGCTTCTTATTGATGAATAAACTTGGTCCTCTGGATATTCTGTGAGATTATACATTTTGAATCAACACTTACATAACATATTAGTAAAGATGGAAACCACTAATGAAGTAGAAAATCAGACTACAGCAACTGGAATTGTTCTGGAGGTGTGTCCTAAAGATCCTTGGCTTAGCATCAGGAGTTTCTTCCTTCTGCAGTAATTTCTGAGTTCCTCTGTGGCTCTACAAGGAACCTATGACTTACTTCCTTAGAGTTGTAGTGTCTATCATCCAGGGGTTTTGTAGCTCATAACTCTCTGATTCAGAAAGTTATTTTCTTGGTGTCCCCTTCCATTTTTTAATATTTTACCATATAAAAATTGTCTTGATAGTAATTTTTTTAAAACTGGCTTAGCGAACTTGTAGAGAATTGATTGAAAGAGAATTTGGAAAAGAAGTTTCCAGGAAGAAATAATAGATACAGGGCTTGAATGGACTTGGAATCAATAAAGAATACATTAAGAGCACAATTTTAAAAAACGAATAGTAAGCTTGATATTTTAGGCAAAGTCAAATTTTAAATAATTGAAATAAATGTAACTTCTAGAATGTTAAGTACTTATTAAAAAATAAATGATTCAAAGTTAGCCATTCGAATCATTGTAAATGGTGTCTACACTATCACCACAAGGTGGTACCACTTCACACAGGAAACAAAAATGGAGTCAGCGTGGTTGGGGTGGGGGCCTCCAGGACCCTCTGGCCCTCCTCCTCCACCAGCATCTTTAATAATAGGAGCTTTGGGGCACCGTGTGCTGCAGAGGTGAGGCCACTGGGAACATGTGCGTGTGTACCCGAAACTCTGAGAGGAGAATGGAGACGGGGTTGTGGTGTGGCCATCCCCGGTGGGTCGGTGGGGGTGCTTTTTCACTTTTCTTTTCTCTCTCTCTTTCTCCTCCCATCTCTCTCTGGCAAGCACATGAACCATATAGCGAATTATAAACACATAAATAAATAAACGTTTAGGGGCTGGACCCATAGCCTAATGGTTAAAGGAACAGGATGCAGCATAGCCAACCACAGTTTGAATCCCAACCCCAGAGGCTTGAAAACCTCTCTGGGTATATGGGTGCGCATGCATGAAATTCCAAAAAGGACAGAGAAATGGAGAAGGGATTGCAGTGTGACCACATTCCCTTGTGAGATGCTTTCTTCCTTTCTCTCTCTGTCTCTCTGGCAAGCACACATACCCTCTTATAATATGAAAATTAATTATAATAAAATGAGTTTTCTTAATGGAGGGAGAGGGTAGATTTGGGTTTTTAAAACTTTCTCTTTCCAGGGGCTGGCAGGTGGCATGGTAGTTAAGGGCACTGGACTCCCACATGGCTGACCATGGTTTGAATCCTGGACCTGGCAGCTTGCTTTCTCTCTCTCTCTCTCTCTCTCTCTCTTTCTCTCTTTCTCTTTGTCCCTCTCTGGTCAAATTAAAATAAAGAAAATAAAGTTAAATAAAATAATTCTTTAAAAAATTTATCTCTCACACAATAAAATTTTTTGAGAGGTTTTTTTTTGCTATAGAGCGCATGCACTCGCCAGACAGACAGAGAGAGACATAGAGACAGAAAGCGAGAAATCACCCCCCAGGGGGATGGCCATGCCGCAATTCCTTCTCCTCCATTCTCCTCTCGGGATCTTGGGCACACACGCACACACGCCCAGCATGAGTTTAAGCCACTGGGTCCAGGACGCGAACCGTGGTCGACTACATGGGAGTCCAGTGACATAGCCATTACACTAACTGCTGGTCCCAATAAATGTTCAAACCTTCTGCAATTCAATCAGAACATGACAACTAGGGTGGGCCCTGTAGCCTACCGGTTAAAGGATTAACCAGATTCCACATGGCTGCCTGACCCCAGCAGCTTGAAAAACACCAGGCACATGTGCTTTCATGCACAAAATCCAGACAGGATGGAGAAATAGAAGAGAAGGAATTATGGAATGGCTGTATCCCACTAAGGGGTGCTTTCTCATCTTCTTCTCTCCCTATCTCTGTGTCCTTTCCTGGTGAGCACACATGCCCTCTGGCAATTTAAAAAACAAAACAAGGGGCCAACAGGTGTCATGGAGGTTAAGGCAGCCTGGATCCCACGTGGTCAACTTCACTGTTCAAGTCCCAAACCTGATGGCTTGAAAATCATACTGGGCGTTGTGCTTGTGAGCACCCAAAATCCTGAGAAGAAAATGGAGGAGAAGTGATTGTGATATGATCATCCACTCTGGGGGAAGGGGGCAGGTGATTTCTCACTTTCCCTCTGTGTGTCTCTCTCCTGTAAGCACAAATGCCCTGTAGCAAAAACAAAAACATTCCGTATCAGTGTTGACCAATAGAACTCTCTACGAGATGAGTTCCATGTCCGCACTGTTCAATATAGGTACATGTGGCTAACTGGGTGCTGAAATGAGACTGTTGCAACTAAACACTGATTTTTAAGGACCAGCAGATGGCGTAATGGTTACATCACTGGACTCCCACATAGTCAACTGCAGTTTGAGTCCTAGACCCGGCGGTTTAAAACTCACACCAGGTGCGTGTGCATGCGTGCATGTCCAAAATCCCAAGAGGAGAATGAAGGATAAGGGATTGCAGTGTGGCCAACTCCCCTGAGGGGTGATTTCTCACTTTCTGTCTCTCTCTGTCTCTCTGGAAAGCACATGTGCCCTATAACAAAATTCTCTCTCTCAAAAAATGACTTATTTTTATTTTTTTCATTTTTAATAAATTTCATTTAAATTGTGGCTATCATCATATGGAAGCCAGTTCTAAATAAATGAGTTACATGATCCACATCCTTTTTTTAGATTTTTGCCGTAGAGCACGTGTGCTCACTAGAGGGAGAAAGAAAGTGACAAATCACCCCTCAGGAGGCCCCTCTCCTCCATTCTCCTCTCAGGATTTTGGGCACACATGCACACATGCCCCGCATGTTCTTCAAGCCACCAGTTCCAGAACTCAAACTACAGTCAGCCACTTTAACTACCATACCCTCTGCTAGCCCAACCCGCATGCTTTTAACTTAGTAGTTTAGTGGAAATATATATGGTTGTTTTCAACTTTTTTCTTCAGATCAGTCTTGGAATTGGTTAGATGGATCAAAAGCAACATTTGTCAAATGGGGAAATAAAAGTAAGAGTGATAATACTGGAAAATGCAGCATTTTGTTAGCTTCAGATGAAACTTGGAAAAAAGTTGAATGTTCACAAGGCTTTGGAAGAGTTGTCTGCAAAGTTCCTCTGGGTAAGTACTAATATATAACCTATCCCCTAGGCAACTTTTTGCAGAACAGCTCAGGAAATAAATGTTCAAGTATGTGCAGAGTTTTCTATTTGATCTAAGAGTATTTAGTCCTTAAAGTATATCCCAAAATCTTGATTAAATCATAGAGATTTTTCCTCCCAAAAGTAGTTTATAAGGGACAATTAATAGATGAGGTACTTAAGACTCCCAAATGAAACTATTAAACAGTTCAAACTTTATGCAATTCTTTCCTAAGGAAAATGGAAGCCATCAGAATGTTAAGGTTCATTTTATCTTTTCAATGTTCTTAAGATGCATTTTATCCCATGACTTGAATATGTAAGAGCTTAAAGATTGATTTCTGCACTTACTTTGCCTCCTTTCTCATAAAGCTCACAATTAAGTTAAAATCATTGCAAAGCTAGATTTAATTTATTAATATGTTCAGGGCATCTGTAGGAAAACATAACTTGGGCTTATATTTCATCATGAATTGATACAAAAAGTTCCATACAAGTATCTTAACTTCACTTCTGGAGAAAGAGTTCTAAATTTTTCATAGTAACATTTTAAAGTAGTTTGCATAAACATTTCTATTTTGGTGTATAAAGATACATTTGGGGGTATTAAAGGTAAAAAACTCCAGTTCTAGTCATCAGTATCTTTATACACACACATTGACCCAGCAAATATTCTGAATGCCTACCATATGCCATGCCTTGTTCTGTGTGCTGATTGCCTCTGTGAACAGGACAGGTAAGGCTCACACCTGTTCTCTCAGTGCTTACAATCTAGTGGAGGAAGGTAGATAGGTAAACAAGCAGGTTCATTTTTGAAAGAAAGGAAAATTTCAAATGTCATTAATTATGAAACTCTATGTGACCAAGACTAGGTGGATGGCTACTCAAGTTAGGCTATCAGGGAGGGAACCTAAGGCGAATTCAAGCTGAGCACTGAAGGGTCAGTAAGCAAAGATGGGGGAAAGGCACTGAAGGCAGAGGTACCAGCTGGAGCAAGGAGCCCAGGGCAGAGCAAGCTTGTAGGAGTGCAAGGGTTAGGAAGGTAGGCAGGTGTCAGACACATAGGGCTTTGGAAGCAAGGGTCAAGAGTTCTGGTTTGACTCTGACTAGCAGATTTTGGGGAGTAGGTAGAGCAGGACTACAGAGGTATAAATCAATCACTCTGTTTTGGCCATTCTGAATTGTCAATATGGAGATGAGATACCCATAAGGAGAAGGAAGGAAGGGCAGCATAGAGATGGTATGAAAGACATGGACCCGGATAAATGCATCCAGGCAGCATGTGGAGAAGGTGCCTGGGACAGAATTTGGGGTTTAACGGTTACAGGCGACCTGAGGTAACCGTAGACGCTTCAATCATTTTAAAGCAAACAATACTTATTTGGCCCTAGATAAATCAAACATGAAAATTTACAGCTTTCAGCAATTTACTATAAAAGTAGGATAATATATGGGTCATTATATTCCCAAAGGGTGTTGGGAGAAGAAAATGAGAATAATGAAAGTATTTTAATTTCTTTGGGAAAGAGAAAAAAATCCCATAACAATGAAGAGGATTTGAGTGAAAAGGAAAATGCTATTCTCTGAAAAGAGAACACATAAGTGTTCGATGATAAATTTGAATTCTACATTAATGCTATGAAACAATATAATTATTAAGTGGCTTATATATGTGACATCCATCTTAATGTATAAAATCAATGATAATGATCACTTTTGCATTCTCTCCTCCAATGTCAAACCTCTCCCTACTCCAGGTCCTGATTACAGAGGAATAGCTGTCACATTTGCAGTGCTAAGTGTCCTAGCTCTCATGGGCGGAT